CAAAACCCTAAAACCCTACACCCCTTGGGAACTTCCCAAACCTGAACTCATCAGGATTCAAAGACGCTCTAAGAGTATATCATGGCTACACTTGCTACTTAGCCTTGCAATACTACAATTCGTGGAGGCTTCCATTTTATGTGAGGGGCCAGCAAACTATCTACAAATCACGGGAAAACTAGAAGTCTTCGGCCCTGGACGCTCCCACGGCCTCCACCCCCTCATAGTTGGAAGCTCCGACTCCCCGAAACCCTAAACCCTAAACCCTAAACCCTTATACCTTATAAACCCTAAACCGAGCCAAGCGACATGTAGGCAGCTGGGGGTATGGCCTTCTCTTCTTCCTCTGCGCCAGGAAGACCTTCGCCAGCGGCGCCATCTGTCAGCGGTAGCAACAGGACCAGTACTTGGGAGGTCAGAGGGACTTAGCAAGTAGGTTAATAATGGAAAAGAAAGTGGAAGCTACTATTTAGGTTGGGATAATGGGAAGCTTCTACAGTATTTAGGGCTTAAGCGAAAGAAGTTGAGGAGGAGAATGAGCCGCAGTAACAGAAACGTCAACTCTACCTGGTCTTGAGATACAGGATATGCAAATCGGCCGGAAAAAGCTGGAAAGTGGAGCATCACAAGTGTGAACAGAGAAGGTTACGTGAACTAGACACTACAGGAGACAACTTAAGAGCTGATGTGATCGCACTCTCCCAAACTGTTGGCTTTGGGGCCCCCTCACACACATTCGATAAAAGTAATAGGACTTCAGTCCAAGAATTTCAGAAATCATCGTTTTGTGAGCCATTGTCTAGACTCCTAGTATCCCCCTTAATAAGCCTTATAGTAGTCCCCTATATAATGCCCCCATTAAGGAGTTTAGAATGTAGCTCTTGTGGACTTCCTAAACCCTAAACCCTAAACGCCCAGCCTCCTTCGGCCTCCTCTTCCTCCTCTGGAGGAGGCTCCTCGTCCTGGGTTTAGGGTTTAGGGTTTAGGGTTCCCAACAAGTCAAAGGCTCCTCCATGAGCTATAGCCTGAACTCCTTAAAGGGGGTTGTAGAGGGGAGTATTAGTTTAGACTATAGCTCACATGAACCTCAAAAGCAGGCCGTGATTTTGAGGAATCTTCATTCATCCACGTTGGGGTTCGCGACAGATAAAAGAAGTCGTTTCTGAAAGCGATGGGCTGCAGCACTTTTTGTATGCGTCAGTGCTCGCTCTACCTGTGATACCTTTCTCACGATCCTGAAGATCCTTTGCGGGATCTACTTGAGAAAGCCTCAGATCTAGGTGGTGGGAAAATGTAGTCCCTGGTTGACTCATACAGGTATGAAGAAGATTCTTAAGATGATTAGGATGCCCCTGTGTACACTGATAAACTAGGCAATTTGAGAAAGCTGCATATCCTCACCTCTCAAAAATGACAGACCTGATGAAGAGCTAACCTGCTTGAGAGACAAATTACCAAGCACTAACGGGACAAATCATGGTTACTGAAATACCTCGGCTGACTGAGTTGCTATCATATGGACATATGTATATATCTATATAAAGTTTTTGAATAATGGTAACTTAGTAATCAATGGGAACAGTAGGATGCCATGAAGGGCTTGCAGATATCCGCCGCCAAATTGCCATTCGTATGGCCCTGCCCTAAACCCAAACCCCTATAATTCTCCACAAAGAGAGTCGCTGAGGGAGCCCAGGAATAGCTACATATGTGGACTTCACGAGGATCACGCGATCCCCAACAAGGACTGTTTAGGGTTTAGGGTTTAGGTGTCATTCTGTTGATGGATGGAATCTTGCACCACGCTGGGCCCTAAGCTACGGTAATTCCTAGGACTTTGGGGACCTAAGGTGGTGCAAAATTTCGTCCATAAACAGTTTTGACAAACTCCCATACAACGAGGCAATACCTTAAGGGAGGAAATCCTGCACCACTCATGTCTCAGGGTGGCGCAAGATTTCTCAATCAATGATACCTCATAGCCTCATAGAAGGATTTTGTATACACCCCAAACTACTCGCTCAGCTACTAAGGGAGTGTTTCTTCTGTCTTGCACGCCCAAGCCGGAAATCGCCTACCTTTCTGGTTGCCCTTGGAGCCCTTATGGACATTTCTCAGATCCTAGGGAAACATGAATCCTGGTAGCGAGGGACTATCATGAGGACGGTTTCGGGAACATGCGAGGCACATCCCTTTGAGGTTAGAATCAGTCTGGGTTTTTACTGTTTCTTGATCTTGTTTTCAGAAACAATGCAGACTTCCCCCTTTGTAACACATTCCTTGCAGCATGCCCACTTCAGACGAGCTGCATCGCCGTCACCACTGGCTGCCACCCCACCTTCGCCCTTCATCTCTTTCTTCAACTCTGCATACAACTGATTGTTGGATAATGGCAGATCTGCCTCCATTTCCAGCATCATGCGATCCTGGCGCAAACTGTGATCCGGTATCTGCTCGGACCGCTTTTGGGTTCAACAGGAGTTGTCATGTTCCTCCGTGTGAGAAACGTGAACAGTATGGCTGGAAGGAGCATTCGGATAGTAGCGAGCACTAGCATTTCAATGCGCAAGATGACTGTCAGTATCCTGATTGGCTCCATTGCTGATGTTGTTCCGGCTACCTGCATCACCAAGACCATTCAATTTAGGCCAAGCGGCTTCTGACACCTTCTTCACATAGCTCTTGAGCTCAAGAAGGCTCTCGCAGAGCATGACCGGGCGGGATAAAGCGAAGTATTCCCAGACACTTAGATGCAGAAAGCAGTCGATGGGAACTCCCTTGGTGACTTGGATGCGTGAGAACAGGAAACGCCAGTTGAACTCGCCATCTCCCACGCAGGAGTCATGCTGGTCGGTCTCCTGCTCTCTGGGCTGGGGTCCATTGTAAGTTCGGCAGTCGATGGAACAGCGGCAGCGGATGCTGATGTTGTCCCGCTGGTCTCCGTATTCATCCGTGCCTCAGAGGCTTATGAAGCTTCTGTCGAGCAGCAAGCTGTGTCCCTTCTCCCATGCTATCGGATTTCTGCAACGCATGGCTAAGATCTGGGCACATTCGCATCTGAAGGTCGTGGACAGTCCAGCAAATGAGCCGAATTTCCACCTTCAGCCGGCGAGATACATGCCAAAGACATTCCCTGGCTCAAGCACTGACTCTTCCTCTTGTTGAGCTTGGGGCTTCCATTGCAGGCGGCTGGAGCAGCTTGCTCACAGGAATCTCCGCCGCAGTCGTGGTGTCCAGGAGCTCAATCCACATCTCCAGCGATCCTGTGGTATCCAACCAAAAAATGGGGAGGGGGGCATCTCTGCATCAGATGGATGCATGATACTGCACGGTGAAAAGAGTCGTTTCCAAATAGCTGAGACTCCCCTAAGCCTCGTCATACCCTTCTTCGAAAACCCGCATATGGCCTCTTCTTCATGATCATGTGACAGCTTCTGCGCAGAGCTTCATTGTAGTTGCTAGTACTTGTAGATGGAAAAATTCTACACCTACCACTAATGGCGCAACTATGACCTAGGTACTTGTACCTGGGTGGCTTATAAGTTAAATCACTAAATTAGCATTGCAATACTAATCAATAAAACAAAAACGCTGGGTTTTCCTTCTGCCGGGACTGTATGGGAGAACGTTCTGTATCACGTGCAGAGGTCCATGTGGGGACCATTTCTTTGGACCCCCCCACAAGTGGCCACGCTAGACCCTGAACTCTGAACCCTGAAATCTAAACCCTGAACCCTAAAGCCGAAGGTCTAAATCCTCAACCCTGAACTCCAAACCCTAAACTGAAAACCCTAGACCTTACAACCCTAAACCCTAAAACCCAGTAGCCTTTGGAAATGGTGCTCAGGTCGCCGGTGTTCGGGTCGATTGTCTCGCAGTTCAATGGCCGATACTCAATGGGAACCTTCAATGCCACATGACTTGGCTTTGGGGCTTAGGGTTTAGGGGGTTAGGGATTTTATACACCAATAGTGGAAAAGCAAATGGGAAAATCGAATGGAACATGAAATGAAAACCGGGGCTATATAGAAACTACTATCTGAACTCAGCTCCGTGACAAGCTAATAAAATAGGTGACATGAGACAATTAACTAAATTCATCTTTTCTCACGACACGAGACTTGGAGATGAAGGCCGTAAGACTCATGAAAAGACGAGTGTTATCCAGACCAGCCGTTAACAAGCTTCACGTCGCGGGAAAGGGTGAAAGAAAGAGAGAGAGAGAGAGAGAGAGAGACAGAGAGACAGAGGGAGGAGGAGAGGGAGAACAAAGCACATTAACTTAAGTCACTTTCCTCACACACTCCCTTGTTTCCTTCCTCTAGCCCCTCGTTTGTGTCGTGGGCGTGCGTATCTAATCATTTTCTAGACATCTGCCTAATCCCTAAACCCTAAACCCTCAAGTCTGGTGGCCTTCTTGTTCTTCATCATGATCATATAGTCTCGCGTGTAGAACCTGCAGGATACAGGGGTAATGTAACCAGCCGGCCTGATAACTTTTGGCTGGTACTAGTTGTTAAAGGGAATGGAGGAGTGGATCCCTTTAGTAGCCTCCATATAACTCCCCCATAATATGTTACTTGCCAGTTGCGTTTCCATTCCTCCCTTCGCTATGACGACCAACAAGATCAACAAGCGGTCGCTCGTCTGCTGATTGTACAGGGACGGGATTGGAAGCGCACAGGCCAGCCACAGCAAGCGCTTTGCACTACTGCACTAATTGGACCGCAGCTGCGGCTGACTCCTGCTGCAGCTTCCTTATATACCTACCATAGGCTTTTCATGTACCCTTGAGGGTACCTCAAATTCCCCTTAAAGGCCTAACGGCCCATGTTAGGGGCCCACACTTGAACCCTCATGCTAGGTTCATAGTGTCATAGTGCTCCGATTCCCATTCTTCCGCTGGTCTTGCTTCGAAGGCCTGTCTTCAAGGTCCAGCACGCTCTTGCCGATAAGCAAGTCCTCGCCGTTCTCCTGGTAGTCGAAGAGGCCGATCTCAAAGTAGGACCTATGTTCGCTAGCCTATTGGGCAATGGAGCAATGGATCCCTATAGTAGCACCTATGCAACCACGAAAAATGTAGTATTGTAGTAGCTTTGATTTTCCTTTCCGTTCCTCCGTTCCCCAGGCCCTGATTAATTACTAATTACTCACAACAAGTACCGGGAGACCAGTAACGCAAGAGGAAGGCCATCGATGACTTCTATCACTGACTGAGGCTCGGACCGTCTGTTTTATCCTACTCCGACTGCAGGGTCCATCGCTAGTACTTCTAGCATGACCGCTGCAGCAGATGCTGCAGCAGATGCTGCAGCTGGTGCAACTTGAGACTTTGACAGCTCCTACTCTGCTTTTTGGCATCCTGGTACCACTCCTGTTACTGTTACGTTTCTTGTTCAAGTTCTCTGCTACTACGGCTACCAGTATGCTACTCCTCCTCCTAATCCTGGAGCTTGTTTTTTGAGGCTCCAGCTGTTCCGGCAAATTGATGTCGGTCTCCTGCGGCAGCTGTGGTAAAGTAGCATGTTCTGTGCCGGGCTGCTGTTAAGGTACTGAAGCTAAGTTACCATTTGACGTGGATATATAGTAAAAAATCAAGGTTCTCTTATTCTGGTGTCTCTGTTTACGCGCCTCAACAGAGCAAGCCAGTTCAGGCTCACTGGGGGCAGGCCAGCAAATACAGCAACTACCATGGTATCCAAGAGATCGTAGAAGCCGTAGCATCCTAGATATCTGCAAGGCGACAGCATGACCTTCACAACCCGAAACGCTGAGTCCACGAAACCTCAAATCCGAGTCCCAAAGATCCTAAACCCAAGGCTCTTGAACCCTAAACCCCCAAACCCTAAGCCTCAAACCCTAACCCTAAACCCCAAACCCTAAACCCCCAAACCCCTAAACCCCTCAACCCTTAACCCTCAACCCCTAAACCCGACCCCACGTTTTGAGAGCTCACAAGAGCGCCTCAGTGCGGAAGTATCGTGGCTCAACGGATTGCATCTGGCGATGGCCCTCAAGGGAGACCTTGCTAGCGCCTTGGCGATTTTAGGGTCATAGGGTTTGGGGCTTTGGGGCTTTGGGGTTCTAGGGCTTTAGGGTTACAGGGCTTTGGGCTTTTTTTTCAGGGCTTCAGGGCTTTGGAGTTTTAGGGTGTTAGGGCTTTGGGGCTTTTGGGTCTAGGGCTTTGGGTTTCCAGGAATCTTATGCAAGCAATCCGGGCAATCCAGGGTTTTTCTAGGAGCTTTCCATATTTCGCAGCCTGCAGGGTCTTGTGATTAGGGCTTTGGATTCAGCACTCGGGGTGTTCCGCAACTAGCTGTCCTCCTTTAGTACTCTTTTGGTGTCTTGTACTATTTCGTTCTCACCCCCGCGTCTTCGAAAAGCGTTGTGGCTTGCACTTTGGTTTTTCATACCCGGAATGCAGCGTGATCAAATACTACTCCCAGCCGGCTTGCTGCCATGTTCTCCAGATTTGGGAGTCCAAGTCCCGCACCGTACATGAAGTACAAGTAAGGGTTGCCGTAGCCGGACACAGCCTCACAGGAAAACATGAGCACACACGAAAGAAATCATAGTACTTCTTGCAACAACATGCACATCGGCACAATCAAGTACCTTTGGTACTCGTGGTAGAAAAAGGCAGGCGTGCATCCAGGTGCATCTGTGAACAGTGCCGGTAGTGTCGGAACTAAGTAAGCCATACTTAGACAACCAGAAGGGCTCAGCATGCAGTTAAGTAAGAGGGATGCTGAGGGTCGTTAGACCTGAATACCCTAGCCAAGATCCGAACTGGCATGTAGCAATCAAGTCTTTCCAAAATGCCATTCCGATAGCACATGCTCCCTATCGAATGATGTTACCATCACACACCAGAAATAAATAGTAAGTTCTTAAAATTGTGGCCCGTTTTTGGGTTGCTAGAAAATTCAGAGGACCCAAAAATCCCAAAAGGGAGCCGTGATTTCGACATGGATTACTGCGAGGGAACACCCTCAGGGTCCAAGGACCCAAATAAAAGGAGGTTTTAGGGCCCAAATACCGGTAATAGAATTGGGCCCTTAAAACCATCTAAAACCCTGTTGTTTGGGTCCTTGGACCCTTAGGGATGAGGCTGCCAAGAAGCGCCGCTGACGTTCAGGCCCCGGATGATGTAGGTTCGCACACGCAGGGAGTGAGGTTGATCCTTGCTTGCAGGTCCGCTACACTAAGGCATTTCCAAACATCAGCGGCCCCTTTGTGGGGTTGCCTACAGTAGGGATGAGAGTATTTGGGGTCTATATATATATATATTCGGGTCCCGCATGTATGGTGTAACTGGCTATGGCCAGGACTGTAGCCCAGCTATGTGTGCCCCAAGTACAGCTCCCTGGGTTGAAAGTTGGGTTGTAAAATGGATGTGCATTACGCATGTGGTTTTCTAAGCCACCGATCCCTTTGTTTCTTTCGGGTCTAGCAGTCGTCCATACACCAGTGCGGGGACTGAAATCGATTAGGGACTCCTCAAGAGTACGCTTGGCTGGGACCTTGGATTATGAGTGCCGGGGGTTCCTGTTAAGGATTAAGTAGGGGTCATTCAAAGAAACTTCCCTAAACCATAAACCTCCCAGTTCCCAACATGGCAGCCATGCATCAATTTTGAAGCGCTTGCGCAGCAGCTTCTCGTTAAAGAAGACCTGTGTTTAGGGTTTATGGCTGTGCCCTAGACCCTGAACCGTAAGCCCTAATGTGGTCTATGAACAGACTTCTCAAAGTGGTTGGTGATTACCCCAGGTGAGCCCTAACAAAGAGAGATCATTACCCCAAGGGTCCAAGGAACCCAAAATCATAGGGTTTAAGGGCTCCAATACTATGATATTGATGGTATTTGGGCCCTAAAACCCTATTATTTGGGTCCTTGGACCCTTAGGGTTACGCATCATGCTTGTTCATGCGTTGCGGCGATTCTGATAGGATAGCGAAGCTTGACCCTAAACTTCTGAGTGGCTTTGGGGAACTCCAAACCCCTAAAAACTAGGGCTCTGGTAGCTATCGTGTGTCTATAGTCTTAACTCCTAAAAGGGGGTTATATAGGGGATTATATAGGGGAGTAGTCTACGGGCTATGAGTGGGGATACTAGAGTTTGGACTATATAGCTCATATGGCTGTAACTTGGTCCTAAACAAACTGGTGGTCGGGGTAAACCTAAGCCCTCCGCCGCAAAACCCAAATCAATACCTGAAGGCTGGAAAATCATGGTAGTATAGTATGCACTAAGGCCCCTGAAGCCCGAAATCCTAAACCCTGAAGCCCTAAACCCTAATTGTGTCAACTGTATCCCTTAGGTGGACCCCCTAGGGAGTATATTAGGGTCCTCTTCTATTCCTATTATACCACTATTACAGGGTGGGGGGGTCCTCCTAATGTATCCCACGTTCTGCCATCTCCAGCCTTGTCTTCGCCGGTGCCCTTGGCTTACTGGTGCTTAGTAGGGAAGAATGGAATATATAGGCTTTAGGCTTCAGGGTTAGTAGGAAAAATGGAATATATTATGTACGGATTCAATTCCCTAATTCCCCGCTAGTAAGTTAGAGTTTGCATATTTTGAATGATGCACAAACATTGCCATCATGGCATGACAAGACCCGCCAAAAAGTTAAGGGTTTAGGTAGCCTTCACAGACATGGAAACAAGATGAGCCGTACCACTCTTATCTCTTCCTAGGTCTGTTGAGCTTTTAGGATTCTGCTCAACCCCTAAACCCCAAACCATAAACCTTAAACACATTATGGACTTATAAACCCTAAACCCTATATGATTCCTACACAACCCCAATACAATCTCTACCAGCTAAGCAGCTTCCTTGCCATTCATCCACTTCTGGTTCGGTGGCGAGATGACCTCACAGCAGCTTGGTTTTCAGAAAGGCTTGGCACTTGGGCGCCGAGGGAGGAGCCTAGAAAGAATGAGGTGCTCACATAAACCTGCGTGAAGTACAATGATGCATAAGGGCCATTTCGGGACTAGTACCTATAGTCCCCCATGAGTAGATACAATATGGACTTCCGCCCCAGAAATCATACATAATAAGATCCCCATTTACCCCATAATCTATCTACGTCAGGGGGGCTATGTCCCTACAGAATATCTTCTTGCTCTAAATCCTAAACCCCCTAAACCCTGGACCCCCAAAATCTTGGTCAAATCCCCATCTATCCCTAGGATCCACCCCGTTGCCTGCAGTTAAGGTGTAACATGTAGGGTTTGAGGTTTAGCGTTTAGGGTCTAGGTTTACGATTTAGGGCTAAGCCCTGACCTGCCAAGAATACATACCGCTTGCACCCCCCTTGCGGGGACCTACTTGGAGATCAATGGCTTTCCTGTACCTACTTATAGCTGTACTTCTGGCCCCTAAGTCCCCTATGCGATTCTTGTTTCAGTTAATGCTTGGGTTCTAAACGGCACCCCTGATGCATTTCTGTACAGCCTCCGTAATAACCCCTATTAAATGTACCCATTCCCAGCTAATTAAGCCGATGCACTCCTAAACCCGAGACCTAAACCCTAAACCCTAAACCCTATACCCAAAATCCCAAGCCCTAAACGTAAGACCTAGAGAATCTGGGTTGCTGTTAAGGAACTTAAATTAAGTTACTATATTGGGGAAACCCTATTATTTACTATATATACCCATTATGGTAACTTAATTTAAGTTCAGTAAATCCCTATATTCCCTCAGTTTCCATTCCATTTTCCATTTTATTTTCCATTTAATTCTCCATTATAGGCCATTATGGTAACTTAACTCAAATTCCTTAACAGCAACCCAGGAATTCCCAGTGGGGTTGTCCGGTGCATGCCTTGCCTTGAAACGGGCTTTTACCTGGCCAACCTCCGTGGCACCACCTCAGATGCACTCTATCGAAGGAGCTATTTTAGGGTTTAGGGGATTAGGGTTTAGGGATTAGGGTTTAGGGGATTAGGGTTTAGGGGATTAGGGTTTAGGGTTTAGAGTTTAGGGGATTAGGGTTTAGGGGATTACGGGTTTAGGGTTGGGTTTGCCTTGTAACAGCTCACCCCGCAACAGTAATGAGTAGTGGGGGCACTTAAGTATGGGGCAGTTCTAGAGTAACTATCCATGGATCCCTTCCCCACTCCCGGGCAAGCATGAGTCGGAAAATTGCAAACTTCCTCACACACATCGTTCACAAGGAGACGCTGACACACGTGTAAGCCTTTGTGTGGCCATGGAAACTCACGCTTTGCATCCGAGACGCCGAATCCCAAACCCCAACCCTAGACCCTAAACCCCTAACCCTAGACCCTAATCCCTGAACGCGATCACGGGAACCCCTAACCCTACACCCCAAACCTTAAACTCTAAACCCTCAAAAGCCCTAAACCCTAAACCCCAGTTCTTTGCAGTGAGGCTGCTGAAAAGGGGGATGTTGCGGAAGACCGCCGGGCTCATGTTGTGCTCCAGGCCTCGGTATAATTTGCATAGGGTTTAGGGCTTACGGATCTTAAATCCATAGATAAACCAACCTTCCATATATTTTCTTCTTTGCTTTTCCAGTTGATTCGCCAAAAAAAGATACACCTACCTTTGTGGTCCCCTTTGAACCCCTAGAACCCCTGTAAACACACCTTTTACAACTACTAAACCTCAAGCCCAACACCTAAACCCTAAACCCCAAGCCCTAAACCTTAAGCCCAAAACCCTCACACTAAACCCTAACCCTAAGACCTTAACCTGAAGCCCAAAACCCTCAACCCTAAGCTCTCCACCATGATATCTGGATAGTAGCTTCCATTTTCTTTTCAAGTATCCCTATAAAAACCCCAATATAA